ACTGGAACACATTTGGGACGCGAAGCACGGGGGACAGTGAATTGCCAAAACAACAACAGCAACAACAACGACGCGCAAATGCTGCGAACTGGACGTGTAAAACCAGAAACAAACTTTCTCCATATCGCATGGAGCAAGTACAGGCGTGGCCCCAATGGTCCATGCAGTGCTCGTATTCGCCGCGCACTGCCTGCGTCTTGCATGCGGCTTCTTACTGGTGTCGCACTTGTTGCATGCCTCAGTTTCCCCCATTCGCTTGAATTGTTTGTTCGCGCTTCAACTCCCCCGCCCCCCCCCCCCCCCCCTGCTGGGTCCAAACTTTTCCCGCGCGCCCTTTTTCTCCCGCCCGTGCACTTTCCAAACCTCATTCGCGCGTTCTCTCCGATTGTTGAACTTGTTTCGCGCCTCCAAGTTTCGGGCAACTCGCGCTCGCACTTCTGATTTTTCTTGAAGTCACATTTTCCCCGTGCTGCGAATTTCCCCCGCCGCCATTGGTCGGCCCCGGGGCGCCGCGACACTGCGGTCGCCCGCCCCGTCGCCCGGCCGCCCGCCTGGCCGCTCGCCCGCCCGCCCGGGCGCCCGCTCGCTCGAGCGCCCGCTTCCTGCTGAAGCATGCCGTTGACGGTCGCGTCTTTGACTCCGTCAGTTGCGCGCCAGAACCGCACGCAATGCCAGCGCTGCCACCGGGCGCGCGCCCATGCAAGTTTAAGCGACTGCTGCTGCGATCGCTGCGCGGTCCGACAATCTTCGGAGCGGCGGCTTGCGGGTTAAACTCTCGATGCCGACGAGCTCTGGGGAACTGCTGTCGGGGTGGGCCGCGCCAGCGGTGCCAAGGCAGAGAAGGAGACAGTAGATGGACAAGAAAGCAATGAAGGGTGGAATGTAACTACCATGAACGACAGCAGGAATGCCCAGAATCGAATCGGCAAATCGGATCGGCACTGGGAATCAATCGGATTGGGATAAGTCGGCAGCCGAGTCGGGAAAAGTAGAATCGGCGGAAATCGGCAGGTTGGAAGGCCTCCAATGAGAAATCAAAGCCCAGAGCGGAATCCGAAGCCGAATCGAATCGGGATCTGAAGCCATCGGAACCGAATCGAACCGGAGGAACCGCAATGAGCCCTACGACGGTAGAAATAAATTCCCGCGATCGCCCGCGTTGCAGTGACAGAGCGCCCCTCAGATGGACGCGGCAGGAAGCGCGCGGACAGCTGGGGCGGCGACGGACGCGCGGGCCGCGCGCTGCCCGCGCGCCCGCCAGGTCGCGCGCCCGCCCGCTCGCCAGCGCGCCCGCGCGTCTGCGCGACCGCCCGCCCGCGCGCCCGCGCGCGCGCCCGCCCGCGCGGTCGCCCGCCCGCGCGCGCCGGGGCCGCCCGCGGCCGCCTGCCCGCCCGCGCGCCCGCCCGCCCGCTCGCCCCTGCGCCCGCCCGCTCGCGCGCCCGATCTGCCCCGCTCGTCGCAGGGCGCCGCCGAAAGCGACCCGGGCGCAGGCCTCGGCGTGAAAAAACGATTAGCGAGCGCGCGCTCCACATGCGCCTCCCCCCCCCAAGCGTTCGAGGTTGGCGGCGGGTCGGATGAGCTCCACTTCGGCCGCAGTCTCTCCCCCGCGCGCGCCAACTCTGAAATTGGGGGCGGGGGGGGGGGGGCGCGAATTGTCCCCCCCGCCGCGCCATCGCGCAGCGCTCGACGCGCAGCAACGCCCGGGGGGGGCGTGCTCGTTTACAAGATCCGCCACGCGGCGACGCGCGAGGGCAACGACAAACTGCCCACGGCGCTCGGGGACGGGAGCAAACAGCACTCATGCCCAATGTTCTTCCCTGCCCGCCGACGACGACAACCCCAATGCCAGCGTCGTTGTCAATGACGACGACGACGAGATCGAGGACGACGACGAGATCGACGACGACGACGACGACGAGATCGACGACGACGACGACTTCGCGCAGATCCACTACAAGGGGGGGGCAGGGTAGCTTCCGAAGCGCCCCCCCCCCTGCAAAGGTCCGCCTGGGCCCGCGCCCAGCCCCGAAAAGGGGGGGAGGGGTAGCTTCGGCAGCCCCCCCCCCCCCCCCCCCCCCCCCCCGTTTCGGACCCCTTGTCCCTCCTTTTTGGGAGGAGTAAGATGGGGGCATTCTATTTTTGGGCAGCCATGGGCTGCCAAGTTGACGACGCCAGCAGAGCTCGATCTTGGGGTGGGCGGCTTGGAACTGGGGTCGCCCGTTTGTTTTTCGTGTCCCCAGCAGCCCGCTAATTCATGTGACTATAAATAGGTGTATGTATGTATACACATGTATGAATACACATACACCTACATATCATTACATGTACACACGTACGTACGGGTATGGATACACGTACGTACGTGTGTACACACGTACATGTACACACGTACATGTAAACGTATAATACTTGTCATGCAGATATATCATTTCTCTCTGACTGTTTTTTGTTTGTGCTCCCTCTATATATATAGATATATATATATATGTATGTATGTATGAATATATGTACATATGTATATATGTATATATATATTTATATATATATATATATATATATATATATATATATCAGCTCAGTCGTTTTCTCCGTTTCCGTTTGTGTGTTCTCTCTCTCTCTCTCTCTTTATTTGTTGTTCTTTTTCTCTCTTCATCTCCAAATGCTGCTATGTTGCTCATTGTGTACAACCGCTCGAATGGCTCTGCTTTCTGTTCTCTAACCTGTGCCACTTCTCTACTGAAGTGCTAGAGAACTCGATTTTTGACCGCAACCAAACATTTTCCTCCAGCGCTGGGAACCCCGGAGCGGGGAACCCAACCACCCATCGAAATCGGCCCGAGTCCTGAAACCAGGAACCCGGCCGCCCACTGAAATCGGCGCGAAACCTTCGCCAAATCCGAAGATTTTCAGAAAGTTCTTTAACAACATGCTTATGAATCCAAGCTGTTACGTGCAATCTACGCGCGCGCGGTACTGCGTTCCGAATGGGCACAGTCGGGATAGCTGACCGGTGTTCACGAACAACCGAATGCGTCGGGCAAACTACGCGTCGATTACGAAACCGAATGGGGACTGCGCAGAGACACTCGGATTCCGCTGTCACATGGAATAGCGCAGGTTTCCTTAGTCGACTTGTCTGGGAGGGCGTTCTCCCAATGCCCGATCACCCCATCTGCATCCGAAAGGGCCTCATCCGTGCAAGCACTGACTGGGGAGTCTGTGGTCGACTCCAGACACCCTGTATCCAACGTTAGCCAGCGTGTGCCCGAAAACACTTTTTATAAAAAAGCACTGTCGTGCCATATCTGTCTACATGGAGGAACCCATGTGGTGCAATCGATGCGTTGAAGTATGTGCTCTGTGATCGTATTATTAATACTCTTGTTTGTAATGAGTGTAGGCGCCGATGAGAGCAGCGCGCAGTAAAGTGTCAGCACACTGGCATGACTTGCACACGCACAAGCTGTTTCATGCACGCTCTACCCACTGGATGGGCCTCCCTCTCACCCCCCTTGTGCCGAGGTTCCATGTCCCTCTGCCGCTGAAAAAAATAACTCTCTGTCCGGGTGATGGCACGATCAGTAACCAGGCCGTCCGCTGCTACGAGCGACCTGGCGGCCGGCGTGCGCTTTTGCTGCTGGATATGGGTGCGCCGCGTCCCGGCCAAGACCTGCCACCGCTCGCCCCACGGGCCCCGTGCTCGGAGATCAGTTTGCTTATGGCCGTGTGGCATGCCGCCGCTGCCTCCGCGGGGGTTGGCTGCTATCCCGGGGGCGTGCAAATGGGCTCGTGGATCGCGACGCCAAGAGCATGCCGAGCTGCTTCGCGCCCGGGGAGCTCAGCAAGGACGAGCGGACTTGTGTCTGACGGGAGGAGGGCTTCAGCTCCCGTTTCCAATGCCTCTGGCAAGCTCGACCCGACGGCTCGCATGAACTCGATGGCTAGCTGGTTGTCTGCGCCCGCGGCGTAACAATTGTCGGCCCAGGAAGCCGGCAGGACCTGCGCCACCGCGGCAGGCGGGCCGAGGGTGGCAGAGAGCCGCTCAGCAATTGCACTGGTGACCCCCAGTACGTGCACCACGGGCACGCGGGAACACATGCCCGCGCTCTTGCTGCCAGTCATGAGTCCTCTCGTCCGCCTGCCCACCGACCGGGCCTCGCTAAAATCGCCGGATTTGTGTTATACGGTATATTAAATGTATATCTCAATCGATGGGGTGCAAGTGTCTGTTGTGAAATCTACGTGGTGAGATCTATGCGGTGCAACCTATGTTGGGCAAGATCAGTGGAGCAATCTCTGTGGTACAACACAAGTGGTGCAATCTACGTGGTGCAATACATGGTGTGCGATATGTTGCGCAATCGATGTTGTACAACCTATGCGGTGCAGTCTCTGTGATGCAGCCGATATGGTGCACTCGACGTGTTGTGCAACGCGGCGGCGGCAGCGAGACGGGGCGGCGACGACGATAACAAAGTCGCCAGGCCGCCACACCAGTCCAGACGACGGGCGACGACGAGGCGGGCCCAGAGGACGGGCGGCGACGAGGCGGCGACGGCGACAGCATAGCCACCAGACCGCCAGACAGACCCAGACGACGGGCAACGACGAGGCGGCGACGCGGCCGCGACAGCGACAACGTAGCCGCTAGACCGCCAGACAGGCCCTGTTCCATAGAAAGGACATCAGAGACCTAAATGCAAACACTGTTTTGGAAAGCGGAAAAACGAGTCCCAGACCCCCGACGCAATGATTTTTCATGACGCGACCCCCAAAGGTCCGGACCCATTGCCTGGGACCGGTGTTGCATCCCAAATTTGTTCACGGTCCCGAAGGCCGGTTTTACATCCCGAGTCCGAAAATAACTACGTTCAACGACCTGCGTGTACTCCTCAAACCCCCCTCTCCTGACCTCCGTTCCCCCTTTCCCCTTCCCCCTGTCCACCGCCCGACCGACCCCCCACCTCACATGGCCTATCTGGTTGACAGACAACGCATGAGTGCCGACATGCTCCCAAATCCAACGAAACGGCTTTTTTGGCACCGATGGCGGGACACAACACCTACCTGTGTGACTGGCAGCTTGCTTTGGCAAGATGAGCCACGTGAGACGGCATCGCACTGGTCGCGAATAGCCGTATCAATGACGTGAACGAATTCAATGGCATTACGGTGCGAAAGCAAAGGTAAATTGGCACGCTGCACAAGGCCTATACATAAATGCAAGCGGTAGCTTCAGGTTCTGAGCTTGTCTGCACCTGCTAACAAAAAACATTGAGAACACATGTGGCTGGCACCATGCTTGGGCACGATCAACCATGTGAGACGAATTCGCACTACTGGCAATTCAACTGGCAAACTAGAACATAGGAAGGGGCGAGGGGGAGGTTGAAGAAGTGATGAGGCCCGCGTTTGGTTTTAGTTTCTTCTGGGAAGATGTTCGAACGAAAGCTCTGTAGCCCTGGACTCTTGGGGCGTTTCAGGCTCCTCCGAGGCGCTGTTGAAACCATCTGGAGCAAACCAATGCCGAGGCGCTACTGAAGCCTGCAAATAAATGCCATCTGGAACAAATAACCCCACGGAGACACACGGACCGTTGCGTGCTACATTCGGGTGCGGCTACAGGGGGCAATCGTTGGGAACCCTCGAGCTGTCGAGAGCTAGTGTGGGTGGATATTAGATATGTACGAGCTTGGAGTGAGAGGGTCTCTTCTGGGAGTGCCTGGATGCTGTCTTGGGAGCTCCCCAGGGGGCGTCTTGGAAACCTGAAGAGGTTATTGAAACATCTTGGGCCAACTTGTCGCGTCGTTTCGGATGCGGATATTTGGGGACTCGGTCCGACCTTCTTAGCACGATCTCGGGCCGTCTTGGGCGCATCCTGGGGAGTTCTGGGGCCGTGATGGGGCTTTCTTCGAGCTTGGCAAGGCCGTCTTGGAGGCCCCAGGCCCAGCTCGGGGTCCCGTTGTTTGGACCCCCATGTTGTTCCATAGATAAACGGAACCATGCATTGCAATGACACTCAGAATCGGAACGTACATTACCAAGTGTATACAGGTATGAAAATGTGTATATATACATATATATATATATATATATGTATATATATACTAGAACCACGCGCGCGCTTCGCGCGCGCTTAGGTTCTGTCGAGTCACAGACCCAGGAATCGTTGTGAGAAGAAATTGGTGACGCGAAGCGTCGTGGGGGCGTCCTTGGACGTCTGGGGTCTCCTGGGGCCTCTTGAGGGGCCTCCTGGGGGCCTCCTGGCGGCCTCTTGGGGCGGAAGGCTCGAGCTTGCGGTTCGTGGTCCCCCTCTGGGCCCCCTCTTGGGCCCGTCTTGGGGCCCTCTTGGGCCATCTTGGGCGCCTCTTGGGCCGTCTTGGGGCCCTCTTGGGCTGTCCTGGGGCCCTCTTGGGCTGTCCTGGGGCCCTCTTGGAAGCTTCTTGGGCCGTCTTGGGGCGGTCTTGGGCGCCTCTTGGGCCGTCCTGTAACGTCGGAAAATCCAAAAGACAACTTTGTTGAACATGTACGTTTTACGAAGGGAATGGGCCAATTTTGCGTCTAGGGGCCCTCTTGGGACGCATGTTGGAGGCTTCTTGGGGCCTCTTGGGGGCGTCCTTGGACGTCTGGGGTCTCCTGGGGCCTCTTGAGGGGCCTCCTGGGGGCCTCCTGGCGGCCTCTTGGGGCGGAAGGCTCGAGCTTGCGGTTCGTGGTCCCCCTCTGGGCCCCCTCTTGGGCCCGTCTTGGGGCCCTCTTGGGCCATCTTGGGCGCCTCTTGGGCCGTCTTGGGGCCCTCTTGGGCTGTCCTGGGGCCCTCTGGGAAACTTCTTGGGCCGTCTTGGGGCGGTCTTGGGCGCCTCTTGGGCCGTCCTGTAACGTCGGAAAGCCCAAAAGGCGACTTTGTTGAAAATGTGCGTTTTACGAAGGGAATGGGCCAATTCTTGCGTCTAGGGGCCCTCTTGGGACGCATGTTGGAGGCTTCTTGGAGCCTCTTGGGGGCGTCCTTGGACGTCTGGGGTCTCCTGGGGCCTCTTGAGGGGCCTCCTGGGGGCCTCCTGGCGGCCTCTTGGGGCGGAAGGCTCGAGCTTGCGGTTCGTGGTCCCCCTCTGGGCCCCCTCTTGGGCCCGTCTTGGGGCCCTCTTGGGCCATCTTGGGCGCCTCTTGGGCCGTCTTGGGGCCCTCTTGGGCTGTCCTGGGGCCCTCTTGGAAGCTTCTTGGGCCGTCTTGGGGCGGTCTTGGGCGCCTCTTGGGCCGTCCTGTAACGTCGGAAAGCCCAAAAGACAACTTTGTTGAAAATGTACGTTTTACGAAGGGAATGGGCCAATTTTTGCGTCTAGGGGCCCTCTTGGGACGCATGTTGGAGGCTTCTTGGGGCCTCTTGGGGGCGTCCTTGGACGTCTGGAGGCCATCTTCAGCATCTCGGAGCCCTCTTGGAGGCCTCTTGGAAGTTTCTTGGGCCGTCTTGGGCGCTTCTTGGGCCGTCTTGTCTGACTGGGGAGGCCCCCGGCAAGCCCCGACGAGCCTCCGGGCCCCCCGGGGTGCACATTTGCGGTCGAGGTCCCGGCCCCGGGCCCCCGGACCCGGTGCGCCGATATATGTATATATATATATATATATATATATTATCATACGCACCTCTCCGAGGGAGTAGAGCTCAGAGGCGATTAGTGCGCACGTCGTTCGCGATTAGTCTGGCCGTTTCGCTCGGGACATCCTCGAAATTCTGAAAATCGGTGGCACCCCTCACGCAGATCGTGACGTCAGGGTCCAAAAACACATGGGAATTTCAACATGTTAACATAAAACCTTCAAAAACACATGGTAATTTCAATAATTGTGACCCCGATTCTCAGAGAATGGCGGTTTCGCCTGAGACATCCTCCCAAAATCGAGCCCCAGACCCCTCCTCGGAGCCTCCTGGGGGCCTCCTGGAACCTCCTGGGGCCTCCTGGGGCTTTCTGGACCTTCTGGTACCCCAGACCCCGCCTCGGAGCCTCCTGGAGTTCTCCTGGGCCTGCTGAGGCCGCCTGGGGCCTCCTGGGGCCTCCTGGGGCTTCAGAACTACATGCACACACAGAGACACAAATCACGCCCAACACATAACACGCTAGACAAACATAACATACACACACACACAACACCGACAGCACACAAAAAGCACGCACCACACAAAGCACACATCACACACACAACACTCACAATCCTGAGGCCTCCTGGAGCCTCTTCTGGTATCCAAGTCGGGCCTCCTGAGGCTTCCTGAGGGGCCCTGGTACACACATCGCAAGGTGTGGCAACCCCACTTGCGCTCGAGTGCGACTTCGCTGTTGCACGTCACTCCTGCTTCAAACGCCCCTTCAGCTTGTTGTATGAGCCTGGGCACACACGTGCCACTTGTGTGTATATATATATATATATATATATATATAGGTGTGTGTACGTGCACAAATACACACATATATATATATATATATTCCCAAATCAGAGCTTGCCTCTGTAGAGGTCCTAGCCGATTCATATGGTTAGGCTAGGTTTGCCGCCGATTTTCGCTGCACGCCCGGGTGCCCGGGTGCCCGGGGGTGCCCGGGTGCCCGGGTGCCCGGGTGCCTGGGTGTCCGGGTGCTTGGGGGTGCCCGGGTGCCCCGGTGCCCGTGTGCCCGGGTGCATGGGTGCCCAGGTGCCTGGGTGCCCAAGTGCCCGGTAGCTCTAAATAGCCTTATAGCCAGCCTTGTAGCCCTATAGCCCTAATAGCCCTATAGCCTTATAGCCTTATATACCTACCTGTACGACCACCCTTCGGGTGATAAGGAGGTTCGGGGGGGGGAGGAACCAACGTCTCACTCGATCGGTCTCACTATCGATCTCACTATCGATCTCAGTATCGGTCTCGCTCGATCGATCTCCCTCGATCGATCTCACAATCGATCTCACTCGATCTATCTCACAATTGATTTGACTATCGATCTCACAATCGATCTCACAATCGATATCACATTCGGTCTCACTATCGATTTCACTATCGATATCACAACCGCTCTCACAATCAACGTCATCATCATCATCATCATCAACAACATCAACATCAACATCATCATCACCAACATCATCATAATCGGGACACCGTCCTCATTATCAACACCAACATCATCATCATCATCATCATCATCATCATCATCATCATCATCATTATCATCATCACGGTCATCAACATCATCGGGACACCACTATCATCATCATCACCATCACCACAATCATCATCAACATCATCATCATCAGCAGCATCGGGACACAGTCATCGTTATCATCCTCATCATCAGCAGCATCATCATCGGGACACCATCATGATCACCATCGTTAGCACCATCACCATCATCGGAACACCATCGTCATCATCTCATCATCATCATCGAAATCATCATCATCACCAGCAACATCATCAACATCATCATCAGCATCATCATCATCGTCGTCATCATCGGGGCACCATCATCATCATTAACAACATCAGCATCAACATCATCATCATCATCATCATCACCATCGGGACGCCATCATCATCAACACCATCACAATCACCATCAGAATAATCATCATCATCGGGACGCCATAATCACCATCAGCCTCATCATCATCAACATCACCATTATCGGGGCACCACCATAATCAGCATCATGAACATCTGCATCATACTCATCACCATCGGGACACCATCATCGTCATCATCATGATCATCAACATAACCATCATGATCATCATCATCCTCATCATCGGGACACCATCAGCATCATCGTCATCGTCATCATCATCATCATCATCATCATCGACATCATCATCATCATCATCATCATCATCATCATGGGGACACCATCATCATATCATCATCATCATCATCACCGTCCTCATCATCATCAGCAGCAGCAGCATCATCATCATCATCATCGACGTCATCATCATCACCATCAGCAGCATCATCGTCATCAGCATCACCATCATCATCATCATCATCTCATCATCATCATCATCATCATCATCATCATCATCATCATCATCATCATCATCATCGCGGGACACCGCGGGACACCGGCGGGACACCGCGGGGCACCGCGGGAAACCGCGGGACTTTCGCGGGACACCGGCGGGACACCGCGGGCCACCGGCCGCCCGGAAGGGAATCATTTGGTCCGGCCGCGCCTCAGCCACACGGGACTTTCGCGGGACACCGGCGGGACACCGCGGGCCACCGGCCGCCCGGTGGAGAATCATTTGGTCCGGCCGCGCCTCAACTTTCTCTCGCCCGCCCACGCAGCTTAGCTTCGCCTCGCCCGCACGCACGGCACGCACGAACACGAAACCGAAATCGATTTCCCGGTAGGGGGGCTCTCCGTTCCACTTCGATCTCACCCCCTCACCTCCGATAGCCCTATAGCCCTGTAGCCCTATAGCCCTGCCTATACGACCACCCTTCGGGTGATAAGGAGGTTCGGGGGGGGGGAGGAACCAACGTCTCACTCGATCGGTCTCACTATCGATCTCACTATCGATCTCAG